AGAAGCTTGATAGTTTAGTCCTTTTCTTATATTTGACATCACCTTTTTTTTCAAAAGTAATATTCAATGAACTACCAATTCCTTGTTGATTCTTATTTTGACATTCCTTTTTCTGTTTATACCTGCCACCACCCTAGTTCAAGCTTGTACCAATTTTCTTTCCTCTTACTGGTTGATCTGCCTAGACTAAATGTTACTGTAGTGTCATTTTCATTAGGCTATAGTCCCAATACATTTAAAAAATATATACAAATTTTTTATCCTGGCATTTAAATTTCCAAATAATCAGTCCTTTATCCTTTCTTGTTTTATATTTGTCTTCTGGAAACTTCTAGTTCCTTTCTTTCCTCTTTTGATTTTTTATTTTAAATTTCTTCTTAAATTTGTTGTCCCCAACATCAGTTCTTGGCTTTCTTCTCAAACAACATATTCTCCACAAGTGAAGTTATACCCACATAGATTGATTAATTTGACAGTATCTAAATCTCTATAACTAGCATAGGTCTTATTTTTTAAATTTTTATTGATTTTTTGGGGGATGACACTGGTTAATAAAATTATATGGGTTTCAAGTGTACAATTCTATAATACACCATCTGTAAATTGTATTGTGCATTCACCACCCCACATCAAGTTTCCTCCTCCCACCCCCTTTTCCCCCTGGTAATCACCATGCTATTGTATGTATGAGTTTTGGAATTTTTTGCTAATTCTTTCACCTTTTCCACCAAACCCCACTTTCCTCTGACAGCTGTCAGTCTGTTTTCTGTATCTATGAGTCTGTTTCTATTTTGTTTGTTAGTATATTTCAATCATTAGATTCTGCATATAAGTGAAATCATATGGTGTTGTCTTTCTCTGACTGACTTACTTCACTTAGCATAATACTCACCAGATCCATCCATCTTGTCACAAAATGTAAGAGTTCCTGCATTTTTTATGGCAAGTAATATTCCATTGTGTGAATGTACCACCACTTTCTTGTCCACTCACCTATTGATGGGTACTTGAGCTGCTTCCCAATCTTGACTATTGTAAATAATGCTACAATGAACATAGGGGTACATATATTCTTTTGAATCCATTTTCTGGATTTCTTCAGATATAGTCCCAGAAGTGGAATCAGTGGGCCATACATATGGCAGTTGGATTTTTAATTTTTTAAGGTAACTCCATACTGCTGTTCCACAGTGGCTGCACCAATCTGCATTCCCATCAACAGTGCATGAGGGTTCTCTTTTCTCTACAACCTCACCAGCACTTGTTGTTTATTGATTTATTGATGTCAGCCATTCTGATAGGTATGAGGCGATATCTCACTGTGGTTATAATTTGCATTACTCTGATGATTAGTGACATGGAGTGTCTTTTCATATGTCTATTGGCCATCTGTATGTCCTCTTTGGAGAGGTGTCTATTCATGTCCTTTGCCCAATTTTTATTTCTATTTATTTATTTTTTAAAATTTTATTTAGTTATTTTTTCAAGTACAGTTTTTGTCTATTTCTCCCATCCCAGCCCCCCTGCCCTGTGCTCCCCACTTCCCTCCCATTTCCACCCCCCTTAGTTCTCGTCCCTGTGTCCTTCCTATTTGTTCCTCCAAATCCCTCCCCTTTTTCCCCCTTAAATTTCCTTCCCTCTCCCCTCTGGTCGCTGTCCCCTTGCTCTCTATTTCAGTGTCTTTTTTTTTTTTTGGTGTTGAGTTGTATAAGTTCTTTATAAATTTTGGATAATAACCCCTTTTCAGCATTGGTGACCATGTTCTTCCATTCAGTGGGTTGTTTTTTAATTTTGTTGATGGATTTTTTTGGCTGTACAAAAGCTTTTTAGTTTGATGTAGTCCAATAAATTAAATTTTTTTGTTGTTTTCCTTGCCTGAGGAGATATATCACAAAAATATTGCTATGAGAAACACTCAAGATTTTGCTGCCTATGTTTTCTTTTAGAGTTTTTATGGTTTTGAGCATAACATTTCAGTCTCTAATCCATTTTGAATTTTCCTAGTGTGTTGTGTTCGAAGATGATCTAGTTTCTTTTTTGCACATATCTGTTCAGTATTCCCAATACCATTTATTGAATAAACTCTCTTTACCCCACTGTATGTTTCTGTCTCCTTTATCAAATATTAATTGACTATAAAGGTGTGGGTTTATTTCTGTGCTCTCTTTTTTGTTCCACTGATCTAATGCTATATGTGTGCTTTTTATGCCAGTGTCATGCTGTTTTGATTACTATTGCCTTTAATCCTTTTCAATTTGGATGCCTTTTATTTCTTCTTGTCTGATTGCTGTGGCTAGGACATCCAGTACTATGATGAATAAGAATGGTGAAAGAAAACATCCTTGTCTTATTTCCAGTCTTAATGGAAACACTTATAGTTTTGCCCATTGAGTATGATGTAGTTTTGCCCATTGAGTGTGATGCTTGCCCATTGAGTGTGATGTTTGCCCATTGGTATGGTCACTGAGTATGATGTTTGTCATATATGGCTTTTATTATGTTTAGGTATATGTTCCTCTATTTCCACTTTGCCAAGAGGTTTTATCATAAATGAGTGCTGGATTTTATCAAATGCATTTTGAATTAGACTTATAAGAAAAAGAGAGGACCCAAATAAACAAAGTCAGCAATGATAGAGAAGTGACAATGCCACTGAAAAATACAAAGGATTGTAAGAAAATATTACAAACAACTATATGCCAACAAATTGTACAATCTGGATGGAATGGATAAATTTGTAGAAACACGCAATCTTCCAAAACTGAATTAGAAAGAATCAGCACTGAATTGACAGATTACAACTAGTGAAATTGAAGCAGTAATAAAAAAACTTCCAATAAACAAAAATTTTTGACCAATGGCTACACTGGTGCATTTTACCAAACATTCGGAGAAAGACCTAACATCTATCCCTCTCAAACTATTTTGTAAAATTCAAGAGGAGGGAAGGCTCAAGCTCATTTTATGAGACCAGCATTATCCTAATTCTAAAACCAGATAATGACACTATAAAGAAAAAAATTATAGGCCAATATCCCTGATGAACATGGATGCTAAAATCCTCAACAGAATATCAGCAAACCGGATATAGTAATACACTAAAAAGATCATATACTGTGATCAAATTTGATTTATTCTGGTGACACAAGGTTGGTACAATATCCACCAAATCACAAAATGTGGTATACCATATAAACAAAATGAAGGATAAAAATTACATAATCATATCAATAGATGCAGAAAAAGCATTTGATAAAATCCCCATATAGCCACGTGCTAATTGGACATACTAATTGGATTTAAACATTCATATGCAGTATGTATAAAGTTAAACTTTACAAATTTCCTCTTAAGTTGCTACTATTTATGTGTGGTCTAGTTCAATGAATGACACTATCATTTACCTAGTTCCCCAACTCAGAAATTTGGGAGTCATTTTGGAACCTTATTTCCTACTCCCCCATCTAAGTAGAGATTTCATCTGATGGGTTTTACCCCTTAACATCTCTTGTTCTTTTCATTGCATCCTTAATGCTCTTGCCTGATCGCAGTCACCTTCTTCTGGCTAGACCATTTCGAGTCCTAAATGGTTTATGCCTTCAGTTTTGAAGTCCTCCTCCAAGCTTCTACTTTTTAAAAATACCAATGTGGTTTTGTTATTGCCTTGAATAAAACCCTTTCAATTGTTTTATTTCACTTAGAGGACAGGGTGAAGCTCAAAGTCCACCAAATGCCATTCAAGCTTTTTCAGGATTTGGACCCTCCTTACTTCTTCAGCCCTGTGTCTCACTGGACACTCTTACCTCCAAACCATATCTACTACTGTTGAGCAAGGACTTTTATCTCTATATTTTTCTAAATATATTTTTATGCATGAAATATTGTTCTTACTATCACCACTCCCTTCTGATTGACTGCACAAAGTGACTTTTAAATATTCAACTCAAGCAACACCTCCTAGAAGCCTCTCCTGATTCCCCTAAGATAGTCATCGACCACTCTGTCCCTTGTTCTTTAATGTTTTCTATGGAGAAGTCAATATTTCTTGTTTCACTTATTTATTTTATGTATGTTTATTTTAGCCAGTCTGTGATATCCTTGGAGGTAGGCACTGTATGTCATTCACTTTGCTTCCCCAGAACTCAGCTGCAATGCTCAACACAAAGTGAGTGCTTAACAAATCTTTGTTGAATTACACATCTTCCCAAACTCTGTTCTAGCTGAAATTATCTAAAAATGTGCTTAGAATAGAAATCAGCAAATGCTAAGCACTCAGGAATGTTAGCTAATATTATCATCACTTCAGTCAATGTGTTTAAACTTGCCTTTCCTATAAGTTGGTAAGAGGACTTACTTTTAGAGAAAATTCAAGCCAAATAACATTTCTAAAATTACATCAAATAATAATTATTTGATCTAATTTTAGTAATAATTATTTCCTCTGACTATTCCAGGAACAATTAAAATTCAGTTAGTATTGGTTCATGCATTCTTGTTCAAGAATTTAATTTTGTTTTCTAGGTTGGTAAGCAGTGTTTAGTTTTGATTAGTTTTTCAGTCAAACAATCACGTTTGGTCAAGCATATTCCATCCCTCAGGAGGTTGGCAATAATTCCTGTGACATGGTGAATTTTATGACATTGAATTTATTGGATTTAAGTTTTAAGAGGAGAGGAAAAGTTCACTAACTATGATAGCATCAAAGGAATGACTAGACATTTAAGTTCCTTTTCCTCCCCACTTTGTGAGATTCTAAGGCTAATATTTCAACTATATCTATGTGGCTAGTCAAATATATGGCTAATATGTGTATATGTGGCAAAATCAAAGCCTCACATTTTCTTTACAAATTGCTTGATTATCGCCACAAAGCACATCACGATTGGGAAGCGGTGCCTTTATAAAAGCCACACACACGTGGGCACACACAGTCATAACACATCAGATCAGAAAAATTTTATCAATATAAAATCAAATGGCTTAGTGATACAACAGTGCTGATATTTCTTAAATTATTTTTCTTCTTTCTCAAAGAAGCTCGAAACCTTTGAATTCATAGTCACCTAAAGGCGGAGGTTAACTTGCCAGTAACAGCTTTGAGGGATGAGAGCTAACATCAGGGGACAGACATTTTCTTTTACAAATAACACATTGTTATGTATTGTTCTCCATCACCCACGCCCAAATGGCTACTCGACCTATGAAAGAAATCGCACCATGAGCACAGATAACCCCAGGCTTCAGGTCTGTAATCTGACTGTAGCCATCAGCAGCCAGAAATGAGTTTCTTTCTAATCAGCTTTCCATCAGTCCCCAGTCACACATATAAAGGAGCCTGGGGAGGGGAGGATTCACATTGTTCTTTCTTCAGCACCAGGATTCTGGACAGCGCCCCGAACGGGCTGCCATCCTCCAGCTCCTTCCTTTCTTAATCTCCTCCAGGGCTGCTATTGCCCCTCTAGTACCCCCTGCTGCAGAGAAGGAAAATTACATCGGGATCCATGCAGCCGGCAATGATGATGTTTTCCAGTAAATACTGGGCAAGAAGAGGGTTTTCCCTGGATTCAGCGGTGCCCGAAGAGCATCAGCTACTTGGCAGCTTAACAGTGAGTACTGAGTAGCTGGCACTCTCTAGAGAGCACTTTCAGGTAGCAGTTGTCTCATCCTGCCATATTGCCATATGGACACCTGGTGCAGAGTAAGCACACACACCTCAACTCCTTCCTCTCTCACCTGTGTACCCTACCTCCCCCCATCTGCCTCCAATCTTCCTTCTCCCTAAAGTAAAGCAGGTGTACTGATTGCTACATGCTAAACTTCTTTTCCTCAAAATTTATAAGGAGAAAGCAAAGAAGGTCTTGAACATCAACAAGAGTTTGTATAAACTGATGTCTTATATCTACAACCAAAAAAAGTGTGCAGAATTTTGAATTGCCATTTATTCTGGGAAGGAACAGGGAGAAGAAATGAAATAGATTTCTAGGGTTCCTGCAAAATTCCTGCGTCTCCTATAGCCCATCCCACCTACAAAGCCTGCTCTTTAAACACTGAAATAATCTTTCCTACTTTTCTCTATAGGTACTTGTTATTGGAATAAAAGAAAGATTGAGTTTTCAAAAGTTTTTCTACAGCCCTCATTTTCCCATTTTTTTGCAGTTTAATTGATGAAGTAATAAAACAATATACTACTTTTTTATTGTTTAAGGTAGTGTTTATGTTTAAATAGTAACAGAATAAAAAGTTAATATTTTGCAGGATTTTACATTCTGACTTGAGGTTATTGTCATGTGACTTGATAAAAAGGACACTGAAGGAGAAATATATTCAGATTGCTAGTCATTAAAAATATTAAATGACCATCCGATCTCACCTTTAACTGGAACATAATGAACAAAAGAAAAAACCAGAGACATAGAAATTAAGGACAATTTGACAGTAACCAGAGGGGAGGGGATAATGAGAGGAAGGGTTTTGAGGAACTGCTATGAAGGACACAGGACAACAGCAAGGGGGAGGATAGAAGCAAGGGAGGGAGGTGGGTTTGGCTGGGGTGAGGGAGAGTGGTTGGGGGAAAATGCAGACAACTGTAATTGAACAACAATAAAATAATTATTAAAAACATAGAAGAAAAGGGACAAAAATGACTGTAGTTTAATAAAAAATTAAATAATATTTCATTACTGTACTATCAGGCTTTATCACCACTATAATTCAGTCTGTATCATAGAGTTGTAACTCCAACTCTGGGCCAGAGGGTTATATTGTACTTGTTTGTTATTACTGCTAAAGATGTTGAAAAGTAACCAGGGCAAGTTTTGTAGAACTATTTAATCAATTTGCAAAATGAGACCAAAAAGTTAAACATAGGTTTTCTAACATATAAATACCATGAATATTTGGATGAGATATTACATAGAAGAGCTTTGAAATCATAGTGTACTGGTCTAAGGAGAACAGAGAGAACTCAGTTATGCTAATTGAATATATTAGATCTGTGCGTTGTGTGGTGAGGAGGAGGCAGATGGTGAGAGTACTAAGACTTTGAGCTTTGAATGACTAAACATTCTATCAAATGCCAATATCTGCATAGACTTCTCCCTCAAGTGGTAAATAATAAAATATTTTTAGTGATATATAAATCTAGTGAGTGAAGCAATAACTAACATGTGAAAATAAAGCCGGTAGAGAAATCAAAGGACGACAATGGCAAATCACTGTTCGTTGAGTTCCACATCTAATGTACATTTTCTCAGTTTCATAAAAAGGTAATAGATGGGTGAGATTGTCTTATATCTCTATTTGCCAGTGAGAAAGTTCTCTGTATATACAAAAAAGTAAACCTTAATTTTGCTTTGTTTGTCAAAGGAAAGTTTCCAACTCTTTTATTCTGCAGTTGTAACAATGTGATCTGAGTTTCTGGAGTCTACCATTTTTTGGTGAATGTTTTAATTTTGTTTTTGTTTTTGCTGGATTTAGAATTCTTAAAAAAATTTTTTTTATTGTTGTTCAAGTACAGTTTTCTGCCTTTCCCCTACCTCAGCCCAACTCCCCAGCCCTCCCTACCTCCCTGTCATCTACCATTTAAAAAAAGATTTTATTTATTTATTTTTAGAGAGAGAGGAAGGGAGGAAGAAAGAGAGGGAGAGTATCACTGATGTAAGAGAAACATTGATCCATTGCCTCTAACACATGCCCCAACCTGGGATGGGACCAACCTGGAACCGAACCTGCAACCCAGGCATATGCTCTGACTGAGAATCAAACCAGCAGCCTAATGCTTTGAGGGACGATGCCCAACCAAGTGAGCCACACTGGTCAGGGCTGGGATCTGCCATTTTTATCTTTAGCCAAAAGGACTGACAGTCATTACTTAGTCATGTGTACAGTATTTTGAATGGCTAATAAAATGTCAGTCTCTTTTGGCTTCTCAGATTCTACGCCTGTGCACCTAATGATTAGGCAGTTCTCTCTCATTCTCTCTCTTACACTTTCTTTCTCCCCTTCACCCCACCCACACCATTTCTTTCCTTTCCTTCCTTTTTCTTTGTGGCTGAATTTTAACAGCCATTTTTCAGATACTATCTGCTGACACAGGTGGCCTTATATGAATATGTCCCTTTGTGCTGAACTTCTGCAGATAGATCCACATTGGCAACATGGGTGTAATTGCAGACAGTAAGGTGATCAATTTCAGTGCAACTCTGGACACATTTCAGAATGAAATGAATGTTTTGTTTTTAAGTTTTCATTGAAACTAAAATTATTGTTGTGAAAAATATACATTTGGCCTTGTTTGGTCATGTTTAATAATTAACAATACAGTTTCCATATGAGTCAATGAGGCTAACAGACCAAATTTCATGCTATAAAATAAACTCAGGCAGGAATTATTCATATATGTGATTTTTTGCTTTATGATAGTCAGATGTTTGTTGCTTTTAAAGTGAATTAAATCTGATTGCCCTTTAATTTTAGCCACTGGATGATGTCTCAAGAGCATTGGAAAATAGTTTCCCAGAGAAAATTAGACCAATATTTATGATCAAAAGTTAGGAATTGAATCGAAATAGTAACTTCTTAAGTTTATATGATTGCTAGGGCTTCTAGGGTATGATTGGAGTATCTAAAAAAAATGTAGTGGAAGAGAACATTGGAATCCTAACTAATGTTTGTGTGTGTGCCTACCTTCTCGAAGCTAAATAAAGCTAACTCTGGCAAAAATGATGATAAAAAAGGCAGCCGAGGAAGCAGCAAAGGGGAAACGGCTACTGACAGTGGCAAGACAGCGGTCATGTTCTCTTTGAAAAACGAAGTCGGCGGCTTGGTCAAAGTGCTGAAACTCTTCCAGGTGAGTGTAAACTGTCCTTTGTAACTCTCCAAGTGGCTGTGTGCCTGCTTACAAATCTGTGATCTGTCCTGAAACATCACTGAATCGTTTCTGGATAATGCATAAAGGGTTCGAAGAAACCAAACTTCATGAGGCTTTTACAAGGGGAGTTTGTCTGCCAAACAATGACATAAGCAGATTCTCAGGTTCCTATGGTTCATGAATTCAGTTAGCTCATTAGTAATTCTGCAGACTGTTGCCAGGTGAGGCAGTTAGTAATTTAAAAATGTGAGCCTCACACCTGGAAATGCAGACACAAAAGGGGTCAGTATGAGTATCTTTAAATATCAAGAGCCTGCGGCCTGGTTTGATTAACATTGGAATCATGCCCATGTCCTGGGAGCCCATTTATTGCATAAAATGAGATGCTGGAGTGTAGGCATTTGGTATTCTCCTAATCCTCATTGTTTCATGAACTTAACCCACTATTTGTAAAGATGAGTCATTTTCCTTACATATGAGCTCTCTCTTAAAGAAAGGCAGTAGTAGCCTTTTCCCAGGCCCGAGTGGGCGATTTGAACACTGAAGAAAGAGTCTGGTTGAGAATGAGGTTAGGAAAAGCCAGAAAAACTATTGCCACCCTGCCAGGGTGGACCTGATGGCTCCCCTACTCTCCAGGAAGCACCCTCCCTTGCAAAGGCATTTTGTGTGGGGGCAATGGCAGCTGACCAGCTAAGACAGGACGCTTAGCAATTTGAGATGACTTGGGTACTAGTGCAGTGAAAAGATAGTTGTAATTATAGTCAAAGGATTCAGACCTGTGTTCTCCTGGCTTGGCTAAATCCCAGCAGCTTCCTAGGTTCAGTTTCTTCGCTTGTGAAATATTAATAATTCTTCCTACCTAACAAGGTTGTTGTGATGAAATAATATAAATGAAAATGCTTGGTCAAGGACACAGATATGAGGCATTATTATAATGTCTCTTGGATGCCTGTAGAGGGGAAACCAGCAGTCTGATTCAATTAGACATTGAATTGAATTCAATTCAGTTAGACCTCTGGGTGCAGTGGAGAAAGCCGGGGAGAAGGAGTAGCAGCCCTCTGCTTTCACCTGGCCATCAGCTCGTCGTGGGGTCCTAGTTGAACACTCAACCCGTCTGGACCTGCTCAGCTTCGACCAGAGGACATTAAAAGTCCAAAGTGACATAATCTGTGTGAAGACTCTTGAACTTTGAACTTAATATTAGTCTTACCTTTATTATCTGCCAGTTTAGAAAACGTGGCATTTGCACAGAGATGAATCAAAACAGAAACAGAGCATTTAGCTTCCTTGTCACAGGACTGCTTTCTTTACACAGAGGAGCCTGCCATTTGAGTTCATCTTACTCCGGCTCTGGAAACTACCTGCCCTGCCCCTGTGCTCAAAATTCCCAGATCGCCGGGGACTGTATTAGGAATTGTGCTGATAATCAGAGGCCCCATCCAGAGTGATGCAGAGGCGTCAGCTTATTTGGGGGTGGGTTAGGGTGGAGAGGAGAACTTAGTCTTCAGTTAACTCAGGGGAAAGGAAGACTACATCCCTGGGGAAATTGAAACCTGAGGTTTAGGTATTAAATTGCTGCCATCCCTCGAGCACCTTATTGTAAGGAGACTTTTACCCCTGAAATCCATCATGGGGTAGTAATTGCAACAAAACATTCTCATATGAAGCTAGCCTGGAGGTTGCTAAAAGAGAACAGGCACTAAGTGGTCCCGTTTAGGGTTTGGTTTGTTTGCTTTTCGGTTTCCCTTGACCTTCAGGGATCCACCGGTGGCTGCTTTTCTTCCTTCTCTTTTCCCACGGTGTGGACTACACTTTGGCCCGTGTTTCCCAAACATCAGTCATTTTCAAATCACTGTCCCCATTTTGGCCTCTTGTACTATTTACTTTTTCAAAGATTTTTTCATTTTTAAATGTTAAAATTTATTTTTAATCTTGAATTTATAGTGGAAATTTTATACCACTATAAAAGGGGTTCGAGTTTTAGTTATGTTTTTGGAAATATACAAACAAATAAAGATATATATCTGTGGATTATAAGATAAAAACCTAATTCCTTCCCCCCCCAAAATAATCATGCACTCCACCAGTGGGATGTGGACTGCGTTGGGAAATGCTTAGGTTTGCAATTACGACACATTTTATAGGGCCCTTCATATACTTTAATGTCTCCCCCCACTTTTAAAAATGAGACAGGAAAACTGATTTCCTATGAATAAAATATCCCTATCAATAAAAATACTGTTTGAAAACATATCCATGTTTTCATCAACCAAAGGGAGAGGAGATTGTCTTCTTTTCATTTGTGGACACTTGGCAACTTGTTTAAGATTTGAAGGAGGACAGCTTGTGGCATCTCTTTCACTGTGCCCTGGAGGTGATTTAGAGATGTTGCTTCTCTTTCCACAGGAAAAACATGTCAACATGGTTCACATCGAGTCCAGGAGATCCCGGCGAAGAAGTTCAGAGGTGGAGATCTTTGTGGACTGTGAGTGTGGCAAAACAGAATTCAATGAGCTCATTCAGTTGCTGAAATTTCAAACTACAGTTGTGATGCTGAATCCGCCAGAGAACGTTTGGACAGAGGAAGGAGGCAAGGCCAGTTTTTGCTCGTTGGGTGGTTTTGCAATCTGACAAGTGTTGCAAAGGGGAAAACACAATCTGTGAGCTAATATATTTGATCTGTTTTCAGCAGAGCTAGAGGATGTGCCCTGGTTCCCCCGGAAGATCTCTGAATTAGACAAATGCTCTCACAGAGTTCTCATGTATGGTTCTGAGCTTGATGCTGATCACCCAGTAAGTGTCCAATACAATCCCTTCCACATGCGCTTTTCCGGCTTCACCGATGTGCCAGGCACTGTGCCATGTTCTGTGCTGTAATGCTTTATTGTAGAGCAATTTATATTTATTCCCTGTAAAAGAGAGCACTCTTTTAAACAGTAAAGCTTCCTTGTAAATATGCATTGGCTGGAAACATGTTAGAAAGATGGCATTTCCACAAAGCATTCATTTTTGAAAGGATTGGATAGAGGCGGAGATTTTAAACCTTGGTGAATACTTTCGTAGAGTTAGACAGCCTGAAGTATACTTGCAGATGGTGACCCCTGGAAAACCGATGAACTGAAATTGATCACTCTTTTGGGAAACTAGGGAGGAATTGGCATTATGGGGCTCAGTGAGAAAATAAAATTCTCCTTGCTATTTTCCTTGAGTGGAGGTAGTTAGGAGTAGAGTAATCTAGTGGACTTCAGTCTCGATGGAAAGGCAGAGGGTTTTAGAGTAAGGCTGTGACGGAAGAGGCATCTCTTCCCACATCTACCTGGAATCTATTTACCACCATCTCTCCCCTGCTTCAATAAAAAATGACCACCTTGAAAGAAATATGATACATAGGTAAGCATTTCCCACTATTCCCTCCCTCCCGCTTTACATTAGTTTTTATGTAACACAAGAGATCTGGAACTTCTTTATGCTCAGAATGAAGTATAGTTAATAGTCTGGGAGAAATAAGCAACATTCTCATTCATTACAAGCATTTTCCCCTGCCCCCCACATGTGCCCCTTGTCTATAAACAGGCCAAACCCAAGCAGATCAGTCATGCTTACGAGAGTGTTTATGGTCTGAGGGTAATGGCTTATAGATATTCATTTTATTTAAATGGAGGTGATCTGAGGGTAATGGCTTCTAGATACTCGTTTTATTTAAATGGAGGAAGTAGGACAGCGGGGCTCCAGGCAGCGGTTCTCTGAGTGAGTTCCTGAGACCGGCTGTGTGAACAGCCACCAGGAGCTTGTGTTAACGAGCCTACCCTTGAGTTGGAGAACCGTACTTTAAAGACAACTGTGGTGACTTCAACAAGAGGAACATTTTCAGTCAAACCAGCCATTTGGCAAGATATACCCATTCAAACTAATTCATAACATGTAATTCGTACGAATGGTCAAACATACCTAAACATCCAATTCAACCGCATTACTTTAAAAAAACCTGTGTACTCAAAGACATGGTGTGTTGTATTTGCCATCATAGTCTAACATTTCAGAAAATTCACAGTAATTTCCATGTAAGGCTCCTGAACATTAGAAAAACACTCAAAAGAGACTTCAGGAGTCGTCCATTTGTCATCTTCCCCTTCCCCACCTCCCAAGGAGCCAGAATGAACACAAGTCAGGTATGAGAGGTTAGCAGTAAGAGGACCGCCCAGATGCAAGCTGTTAACGTGCAGGATGACCTTGGACAAGTCCCTCTACCTCTTACACCTCAAATTCCTTATGTAAAAAGGAGAAATAAAATTCTTAATGACCTCAAAGGGACATTTGCAAAGCCTAGTTAATAAAGGAAGCGGAAAGCATTTTGGCGAGGGTAAATACTTAATTCCAGGAATGGAAATGCTACATTAACTCATCTAGTCAATGCCTGGAGACTAAAGGGTTTCTCACTTACCTATTTCCAAGTGCTACCCTAGTTTAGTTTGAAAATCACTTACCTGGAAAAAGGGGGTTAGTCCTTTTAATGAAACAACCACAGGAACCACTGACCTTGCTGTGAAAAAAATGTATTCAATACCCAATGCACATTGTCCTGTGCTAAATTTTGTCCATTATTCCTAATCACACTCACTTTATGATACCTTTTATTTTTTTTGCACCCACCTTAAATAATTGCAAGTACTTAGTACTCTCCTATCTCACTCATTTATTTTTACCACACATATTTCTCCTAAAAGCACAGCAAATGTTCATTATGCAAAATTTGATATTGGCAAGTTGATGTTTTTTATGTCATTATTTGATGGAGATGAAAATGTTGTCTCGGGCCTTTTTTGTGCTTCAGAATAATCTCAGGCCTGAGAAAGGGCTATTGTGAGAGGCCAGGCCCCTGAGTGCTGGGGCGGCTCAGAACGAAGGAGCTTGGAATGTGAGTCAGGCTGCTGACATCCTTAGGCAGGGTTAAATATCTATCCAGGTCAGTGCCTCTCAAACTTTAATGGAAAAACAAATCACCTGGAATATCTTCTTAAAATGCGGATGGGGGTCCTGAGCATCTAGAGATCTGCGTACCATTTGTGGCTTACTGCAGTGGTCTGCAGACCGCATATTGAGTAGCAAGGATCTAGACTGGGAGGGTCTTTCAAAGGGTGGTTCAAGGTTCACCCAAAAGGTATTTGTTAATGAGCGCTAATGTTTGACAACTGCTGTTAGGACAGCTCAGTGATTCTCAGCCTAGCTTTCCATTTGAATGATCTGTGGGGGAGTAAACAATACATTGGTGCCAGGATCTCATTTCAGAGTGCTTGAATCAGAACATCTGGGAATGCAGCTAGGTTTGGAGTAGTATTTAAAGCTCCCAGGTGACTCTGAAACTCCTCCAGCAGGTTGACTTGTTTGGGAGAGCTGCTTGAGCGTCAGTGCACATTTAGCTGAGTACTTCAGGGTGCGGGCCTGCTCTTCAGCGTCCCTTGATTTAAACTGAGAGAGGAAAGGTGGGTGTCTAGCAGATACTTTCTGAGTGCTAGGGTTGCCAGATTTAGCAAATAAATATATAGAATGCTCAAGGTAAATTTTAATTTCAGGTAAACAACAAATAATATTTTTTTTCTTAGAAGTATACCCCAAATATTACCCAAGTGTTCAGTATTTTATCTGGTAACCTTATCCCTGGCTTCAGTCCAGAGCAAATGGTATGTGTGCCTGTGATTGCTTGCACAGCCAAAATCCCTGTTTTATTTTGCCAGTCCATGGTTCAGCCCTGGAAGCACTGGATTGCCCACAACGTTTGTGTAATCACCGCCACGCTAGGCTAATGAGGCATGATGAGTAAATCACTCTCTCGCATGCCTGAAAAAGGTGCAGGTGTTTACTGAGGAGAGAGACCGTTGAGATTCTTCAGGAAGCCCAGCAGATTATGATGCCGTTACCATGGTGTCCGATTTGGCAGGAACTGGGGAACAGATGCTGTGCTTTTCGCATGACTCTTTTCCTTTTGTCATGGCCTGCTTTCTTCCTGAGTAATAGAGGTGCTTGGATGTCTTTGGTTTAACCATCCTAGGTTGCTTGGTTCTAGTGAGCGTTGAAACTTGTCCTCTGTAGCTGGATCATATATACCCTCTGCATCACGAGTCCCCTATTTAGGTCACAGGCCCACTTGCAAATGTGGTAACGACGGTCACAAAATTTTGTATATACACATTGTAATACTCATAAGGCTCATGTGCAAGCCTCAGTTTAAAAACTCCCAGTTCCTGGCAAAGGGAAGAACGTGTGAGCTGCCAGGGCAGGAAACTTCATTTCTGCAGGGTGTCTGGGCGATCTCAGAGTACTCTGTCTCTCTCCGTTAATAAATCTCTTGTCCCTCCTGAGAGGAAGGCTGCTGGCAATGGAAGCTCTTCATTTCCATCCAGCAGACACTCCTGTGAAGACTGCTGGCCCGGAGGCCAGTTCTCCTTCGGCCAGGAGAGAGGGCAGAACAATTTCCTATGAGTTTGAGTTCCTGCCGGACAACCTGCCCTGCAGGAGTGTCTGAGGAGGAGCAGCAGAGGTGGGCTGGCCTGTGGGGGGTTGCGGCCGTTCTCCTCTCAGACCCCCTGACCCCAGCAGTGGACTCCTCCTCCACCCCCCCTTCTCAGAGTGACCACCAATTCCTTGTTTTCTTTTGGGGATGCAGCAGTAGAAAGTTAAGTTGAAACAATTCCTTCTGGGCTTCCAGCAGTTTGGAGAAACAACCCTGGAGAGAACTGATTGTCTGAAAGAAAGTACCTGAAGAAAAAGAAAACAGAAAGCTTGTTGACAAGAGGAGAGATTCTTAAGTAAACCAAGAAGTTTTCTCAGAAGGATTCCACATTAGTGAAGAATGACAGACAAAATATTTAATTTCCAAAGTGTTATGATGCTGGATAAAAGTCTTGAAGTTGCTAAAGGCTCCCCAGAGTCATAGGAATCCAGAGTAGAATGGAACTAACCTACTATCCTGTGCATGAGTCCCTTATAGTTGATTTTGCATTGTGTGCCTATATTCATAAAATACAGCAAAACCTCTTTAAGTTATACTAATGTGGGGATTTGATAATTACTGTGAATGATGGAGTTTTTAATAAATGCCCATTTATTGATATTTACAAAAGGCAATTAAATTTAGGTTAACTTACCAAATAACCAGGCTAAAGGGACCTGTTTTAATGAAAAGGATAAGATTCACTTGCGTTGAAGATCTCACATGTAAATGAAAAAGGATATTGTTCACTGTATCTATGTACTTAATTATGCCCTTCTGCCCACATAGTGGAAAGGGAGACTGTAGCCCGCACTCAGATTAGTGCAGTCCCAGTGTAATGAGGTTTTGCCACGAGCATAGCTCACCTCTGCCTGTGCCATCAAGGTGGTCACACAAGGATGAAAATTCACACTTGAACTGAATGGTCACCACCGCAGTGGTTTTCTTTTAGGCCTTCTGCAGCTAATTTCTTGGCACTCTGTTAAATCACTTAATCTCTTTTCTGTTTAAGGGATTCAAGGACAATGTCTATCGACAGAGAAGAAAGTATTTTGTGGATGTGGCCATGAGTTATAAATAGTAAGTACTTGTATAACTGTTTCTGCAAATTGTCACTGGCTGGTTAGAAAAAACACATGCTGTGTTAAACACACCTGTCTTCCCTTCACTCTCACTTTTCTGAAGGCAGACAGGAGCTGTTTTAAACACTCACCAACTCTGCAGCCAACAGTGGTGCTTGACCCCCAGGCACAATTATCGTATGAGAATGAGACCTGCGGGCCGTGTGCCAAGTGCTGCATTTCCACCATTGCGTTCGCGGCCCCGCTAGGGCAAGGAGCCGTTTTTGTGCACTCTGCAGGGCCCGGAAAATGTGCTTTAATTCTACTCTTGATTTGACTTTTCAGAACCTCCTTCAATGTCTAGCTTCCCCAATGGAAGTAGAGAATTCAGCAAGAATGGGACAAGGGGTCAAGGAAGCTGCCTTAATGCAAAGAAATGTGTTTGCTTTATGCGGGAAGCAAAACTTCTTAAAAATTGGAGCGTTCATGGAGGAGTTTCATACCAATCCCGAATTAGGGGTGAATTAGGGTTGAGTTAGGGTTGGTATGAAGTTGAAGAGCCTCAGGTCTGGGGTGAGGACTGCATTGTGCAGGGCATCAAGCAGCAGTGACAGGATGTTTGCCACGGACAATAATGTAGTGTGTTGACGCCATGTCTAAGAAGTGGCATAAGCATAAGGCCTCTAGTTATTCTGCTCTAATAAAACTTATACACCATCATGGTGCTATTTTTACTTTGTCTGGTATGTGATCAGCCATATAAATCTTGTCATCAGAAGAAAATATAAATCTATGACTGGTAGGAAAGATTCTTTCCTATTCTAGTGGAAACTAGGTGAGAAACTTGACTGCCCTGTGGAGCAAGTTTGTCTTTGGTGAGAATTTAGGACATCATATATGTTATGCAATGTATCAATGTTTTCCTTCCTTCCTTGAGAATATGACATACAGGTGCTTAAAGCAAAATGAGGGTGTTTCCTATCACACCTCTGATTGGGCCACTCATTTGTTCCCTTCTAATTACCCTTGATGCTTTGTTCTCTTCCTTTCCTCCTCCTAAGCCCCACTCATCCTTCACTTTTTCTCTGCTGGTTTTAATTGGAAAACCAGGACTACTTGGCACATGTGTTTCTGCATGAGTCTATTCCATTCTCATCCTCTCAGTTCCATGCAACTTCTTGACTCTTTTTAGGCTACTGTGACTTTCTACAGTGTCAGTGTGCTGGTGACTTGTGCTGGCCCAAGCCCAACCTCATGCCCCCTTTGACTCTCAGCACCATTGTTTCTAGCCCTGCCTTTGAGTGTTTCCCGGCCAAATTGTGAAGGTGGCACTCTGATGGCACCAGCTCACTGTTTCACATCAGGCCCTGGCAAGTGGTTGTGAGTGTTCAGATTAGCTCCCCTTGGTTCACAGCTCCTCCCTGTGGAATCTATGGGTTGTAGTAAGGATTGTGGAAGAGAATGCATGGCAGTGCTTTGCATAGTGCCTGGCACATGATTGATGATCACAACTATCAGTCATTATTGCATCCTCCCCCTTTTCCTTTTCCACAGACTGTCTTTGGTTTCTAGCTGACCTATGTTTAGTTCTTTAGCTGTATTTTTTTAAAAATATTTTTTACTATGGTTTCTATTCAGATCATATAAATCTTTCGCCTTTTAAAATGTATTTTATTTTATTAAATTTTTTATTGTATGTTTTCCATGACCTTTTGGTCCCCTTATACCCCTCCTGGCAATCCATGCACTGTTGTCCATGGGTCCCTTTTCCTTTTTGCTCAATCCCTCCACCCTCTAACCTCCCCCGACTAGCTGTCATCTTGCTCTCTATCTATAGTCTGTCCCCATTTTCCTCATTAGTTTGGTTTGTTCACTGTATTCCACGTATGAGTGAAATCATCTGGTATTTTTCTTTCTCTCTCTGGCTTATTTCACTTAGCATAACATTCTCCAGGTCTATCCATGCTGTTGCAAAGGGTAAACTGCTCTTCTTTTTTAAGGCCAAGTTCTCTTCCATTGTGTAAATGTCCCATAGTTGTTTTATTCACTCATATACTGATGGACACTGGGGTTGGTTCCATATCTTGGTGACTGTAAATAATGCTGTAATGAACATAGTGATAAAGGGTGCCAGGGTGCAGCCAAGAGGGGGGCCCCAAAGGGGATTTAGAATGGGGTCCAGAACTCAAGGTGTCTAGGAAATATTGGAGAGACATATAAGATGTTCTCACCCCTTCCCCCCCTCAGGTGTGAGTTGGGGGAAGGGACACATGGAGCAGGAACATGCAGAGCTGTTTAGTACAGCAACAGCCTTGCAATTAATCCATGGCCTGGTCATTTAACATATCTATAATCTTTAACTGGCTGTATGGATATGTGAAATAGCTGTGGCCATGCTCTGAGCCAGGGGGATGGAACGTGACTTCCCCCCAAGATGTAACTGGGGGGCAGGTCCCCCAAGTGACAGCACCTATGTGAGAGCTCAGAGAAGATTGGCTCCATGATATGGAGGCACACCTGCCCAGACTCACAATGGCAGCCCAGTAAACTTGGAATCATACAGAAATGCTGGCAGGTGTCGCTGATTGTAGGAGGAGTCGGAAATGGGGGTACAGAGGAAGATTGGCGCAGGGATTTAAACCCAGACATGGCAGCCCTTGTGGGGGAGAGCCACGTGGTTTTGGCCAGAGTGAGGATCCCTCTTGGCTTTGCGAGGGAAAGAGATCCACATGGTTTGGCTAGAGTGCAGAACCCCACAGCTCTGATGGAGAGAAGAACCATGTGGTTTTGGCCAGAGTGGGGACCCCTGAGGCTTTGGTAGAAGAGGACCGCACAGCTTTGGGGTGCTCCCTTTGGCCGTGTGGCCTGGGAAGTAGGAGAGACTTTGCCTGGAAGAAGGGTGAAAGAACTCTTGCCAGTAGGCCGTGAAAAGGTGCCACATGGCTTTGGATTAATTAGAGATCCTGCCTGGATGGTGCCAGCAGCCTGAAACACGGATGTGTGCTTCTTTTCCTGAGTTACGGTATCCCGAATTAGGTCAGGGGGAGAAGGGAGTGCTGTGTGCATCTGTGGGTATCCTAAAGGACTTCGGTATTTTAATGGGGACATTGGGTTACTACTTTAAGTCTGTACAGCTTTAAACAAACCTTTCCTTTCCTTTTCACAAATCTCTGGCATTGAGAGACGTCTTTCTTATGGCAACAAACAGTCGAACCTATTGAGGGGGGGGTCCTTTCAGTAATAGTATATTGCCACCCCCCTCTGTGCCTTGTTGGGTAACAGTAGGGGTTCTTACGTTCTTTTGCATTAGTATTTTAGGTTTCTTCAGATATATTCCCAGATGTGGGATCAGTGGGTCAAAAGGCAGAACTATTTTTAATTTTGTGAGGTATCTCCATACTGCTTTCCACAGTGGCTGCACAAGTCTGCATTCCCACCAACAGTGCAAAAGGGTTCCCTTTCTCCACACCCTTTCCAGCACTTGTTATTTATTGCTTTATTGATGATTCCTATTCTGATCAGTGTGAGGTGATATCTCATTGTGGTTTTAATTTGATCTCTCTGATGATTAGTGACATTGAGCATCTTTTCATATGTCTATTGGCCATCTGTATGTCCTCTTTAGAGAAATGTCTATTTATATCCTTGGCCCATTTTTTTAACTGGATTTTTTTTGTGTGTGTTTGTTGAGTTTTATAAATTCTTTATAAATTTTGGGTATTAACATTGTATCAGATGCATCAGTGAATATGTTCTTCCATTATGTGGGTTGTCTTTTTATTTTGTTGATGGCTTTCTTTGCTCTGCAAAAACCTTTAAGTTTCATGTAGTTACATTTGTGTATTTTTTCTTTTGTTTCCCTTGCCCGAGGCAATATAGCAGGTAAAATATTGCTAAGAGCAATGTCCGAGATTTTACTGCCTACATTTTCTTTTAGGATTTTATGGTTTCAGGTCTAACATTTAAGTCTTTGATCCATTTGAATGTATTCCTGTGTGTGGTATAAGAATGTGGTCTAGGTACATTTTTCTTCACTTACCTATCTGTCCAATTTCCCCAGCATCATTTATTGAACAAACTATTGTGCTCCCTTCCTTTGCCAAATATTTATTAACTATAAAGGTATGGGTTTATTTCTGGGCTCTCTTTTCTGTTCTGTTAATCTATGTGTCTGTTTTTATGCCATTACCATGTTGTTTTAATTAGTAGGATCTTATAGCATAGTTTGATATTAGGTAGAGTGATTCTTCCGACTCTGTTTTTTCTTTTCTCAGGATTGCTGTTGCTAGGTGGGCCCTTTTGTGGTTCCATATACATTTTTGAAATATTTGTTCTAGTTCTGTGAAGTACGTCATTGGAATCTGATAGGAATTGTGTTGAATCTGTAGATTTCTTTGGGTAGTATGGACATTTCAATGATGTTAATTCTTCCTATCCCTAAACATGATATATACTCCCACTTATTTGTACTTTCTTCAGTGCCTCATAATTTTCCAAGTATTGGTATTTTACATCCTTAGTTAACTATATTCCTAGGTATTTTATTTTTATTTTCTTGATTCTGTTGTAAATGGGATAGTTTTCTCAGGTTCCCTTTCTAATAGTTCTTTATAGGTGTGTAAAAATGCCACTGATTTTTAGATATTGATTTTGTATCCTGCTACTTTATTGAATTGTTTTAGCAGCATTACTAGTTTCTAGGTGGAATACTTAGGTTTCTCTATGTACACTATCATGTCATGTGCAATTAACAACAGTTTTACTTGTTCCTTTCCAATTTGGATGTATTTTATTATTTCTTCATATCTTATTGCCATGGCTAAGACTTCCAGTACTATCTTGAACATGCAGTGAAAGCAAACACTCTAGTGACCAGAGGGGAGAAGGAAGGGAAGTTAAGGGGAAAAAGGGGGAGGGATTTGGAGGAACAAATAGGAAGGACACAGGGACGAGAACTAAGGTGGGGGGGTGGAAATGGGAGGGAGGCGGGGAGCAAGGGGCGGGGGAGGCTGGGATGGG